TGCTGGGTGCCTTTAAGAGAACGATGGCAGTTCATTGGCTGAGCAAGGCTCCCCCTACCTCTTCACCTGAGCAGGTGAGGGCTGTTCGGCTATGGGCAGAATGGGGAGTAAACAAACTGTGGCAACCAGCTGGCTCTCCCCTCCTCCACAGCCCTGGTCCTGGCTTCCTTCCTCTTCCTCCTTTCCCACCCACAACTCTGGGAACGACCTGGGAGTAAAGAAAGGGCAAAACATTCTGCAACATGCTTAGTGCTGTTCAGTTTAGGAAGCTTCATTATTTCACAGTCACCCTAGACCAGAGTTAACAGTACGCCTGCTCTTTCAGATGGAAAACCTGTGCTTGGAGAGGTGAAACAGATCCTTGAGTTCACCGGGCTCTTGGAAGGAATGCTAATAGAGTAGGATGCTGTCAGGACCCAACCCTGAGTGCCCTGCCTTTGACTTCCCCATACAGTGGAATTGCAAGGCAAAGGCTCTGAGCAGGTGTGTTTGGAAAAAAGAAAGAAAGGCACTGTAGCTACAGTCTAATCCCCACCCCACCCTTGTTTAATAGATAAGGAAATGATGCAGAGAGATGACTTGCTCAAAGTCCCCTCCTGCAAATCTCTCCTTTCTTTTCTTTATCCTCATGTATTAGGGGCGGAAACTGAAGTCTGGAGCTCACCAGCATACGTGGATTACCAACGCAGCGATCATCCCACTAGCCTACGTTGCTATAACCTCCTGTTTCTCCACTCTCTAGACACCTGTTTACTCCCGGAGGGCAAAAACTATGATTTCTAAGAGCTGATCACACTGAAGAACCAAATCCTGACCAACAGGATACAGTAAGGACCTTCCTACGCAGTTGAAAGCTGAAGGTCCTTTCAACTTTCATTGTCAGAATTTTTCACTCTAATATTTAAACAGAGCTGCCTGTTTTCAGTCATCATATTGTTAGTAGTAGCATTGGAATTGTTGTTCTGAGACTGTTGGATGGGTAGTGTGGCATAAAACAAGTGAGTTATTACGTTGCTGGTGTTGAGAACCAGGACTTGATGTCAGAGAAAGGAAATACAAATGAAAGATGAAAGGGGTTAAGTGAAAACCCTATAATTCTGGATTTGAAATGGAAGTTTCAGTGTGAATTTCTGATACAGCTGATCTGAAAACAGACATCATATTCCCTACCTCTGCCTACTGTTTTCACATCTACAAAGCCCAACACTTTAAGAAGCACCTTTACTGCCTAGACCGCGGTCTCTAAATACTATTTCTCACTAAAAGGAACCAGAGCTCCTCAAAAAAAAAATAATAATAATACACAGAAACAAACTCACATAGAATACAGACTTGCAGTTGCCAGAGGGGAGGGGGGTGGGAATGGATAAACTGGGAGTTTGAGATTTGCAGATACTGACTGGTATATGTAAAACAGATAAACAAATCTATACCGTATAGCACAGGGAAATATATTCTATATCTTATAGTAGCTCATGGTGAAAAAGAATATGAAAATGAATATACGTACATTCAAGTATGACTGAAGCATTGTGCTGTGCACCAGAAATTGACACAACATTGTAAACTGACTATACTTCAATTAGAAAAAATAAGAATACATAGCTAATACCAGCTTTGGGACAAAAAACGCACAATATATACTTAGACTATCTTTTAATGCCAAAAATCAAGGAAGCTAATCATGGCAAAGAGACACAGGAAGCAATGGAAAAGTCTCCCATTGGCCAAATTCAGGACAATTTGAGCATCAGTAAATAAGTACAATGAGTTGGAAAACATCAGATATATTTTAATCCACGAGTTCACAGTGATATTTTTAAAACAAACAAAAAAACCTCAGTGATCATCTTCAGAAGATATTAAGAAATCACTTCATTATTTTGAAAACTGGTAAATAAAGGGACATAATTAAGTATTTATTCTGTCTTTCCTGTAAGAACTATGCCACAGGCCACCAGAGATTAAAAGAGAGGAAGCCGCTCTTTACATAAGCATTCCCACAAATAAAATGAAAAGGGAATGGAGGACTGACTCGGAATATCATCATTTGTTATGAATTAGTTGATCTAACTCAAAATATTACAAACAAGAAACAACCAGACAAAATGGGCCTTCTGATGGAATTAAATACCACCTCTTATGAAGAAATCATGCCTCCAAAGTCAAGCAGAAGTCTGATCAAGCCTTTCGACTCAGGGGTGGGCAAATAGTCTTTCTAAAGGGCCAGGTAACAAATATTTTAAACTTTACAGTTATATAGTCTGTAGTCTCTGTTGTAGCTATTCAACTCTGCTGTTGCAGCACAGAGAGCAGCCATAGGCAAGAACTAAACAGACGGGCATGCTGTGCTCCAACAAAATTCTGTATACAAACAAGAGCAGGGGCTAGATTTGGCTCATGGACCATAGTATGTCAATCATGTTCTTGAGCTCACTTCCAGTTTACAGGAAATAACAGGGACTGAGGAACACGGGAAATGACACCACACAGAGCCGCAATAAGCAAAAGCTAAACTAGGGAAAAGTCTAACAGAAAAATCAATCTGATTTCTTTAATAAACATCAAGATACTGAAAAAGAGAGAGAGACAGATGAGGGAGGTAACTACAGACTAAAAGAAACTTAAGAACTATTAACCAATCACAATGTATGGACCTTGTTTGAATCCCAATTCAAACCAATATAAAGAACAAAATTATACTGTAATTGGAGAAACATGAACACTGACTCAAGTATTTGATAATATTAAGGAATTCCTCTTGACATTTGGTGCCATATGATGATGTACTGTGGTTATATTTTAAAAGAGGAGTTCTGATCTTTCATAGAGATATCTGCTGAAATATTTACATATGAACTGTATGATATTTGGGATTTGGTTAAAACTAATGAGTGGTGGAATATAAAGGGAACAAAGTTGGTAAGGAGTCAGTAATTGTTGAAGGTGGATGACAGGTTCAGTAGAAGTTCATGATACTATCCTTTCTACTATTGTGTAAATACTTGAAAATTTCCACTATGAAAAGTTAAAATATGTTTATATAATTTCACACCCAACCACTTGACAAAATTTTAAAAATCTGACAAAGTCTAATTTTGGAAGGATATGGGAAAGGGTAGCTCTTACAGACAGTGGGAATGTAAATTCCTACAACTTTGACAGGCATATGTGTACACCCCATGATCTAAAAACCCCACACCTGGATACATACTAAGAGAAACTTGAAAAATGGAAAACAATCAAAATGGATAAATTATGGTATCTTCGGATGAAGGGAATCTCTGAAATGTAGAGATACGGAAATGTCAACTACTTGTGAAGCTGGGAAATGCAGCCCCATCAGGACAGCTTCAGCTCAACAGATACTGACCTGCTATCTACTCTGGGCCAGGCCCTCCACTAAGTGCTGGGGATACGGAGGTGATATCCCTTCCAGGGCTCTAGATATCAGAGCTACAGGGAGCCTAACATACCACCTAGCCCAAACTACCCATTTCACAGATGCAGAAAATGAGGCCCAGAAAAGTTAACCAACTTGCCAAGGGCACACAGATGGTTCATGGAAGAACCAGGAACTGAGCCAAGTCTTTGATGCTCAGAGAAACAGGAGATCTTGGAGCCACACATTCTTAACTTGAATCCTGGCTCTGAAACTCACTAGCTGTGATCTTGGCCAAGTTCTCTAATGTGTCTTTCCTCCGAAGGATAATAATATCTACTTCAGGGGTTGATGTGAGGATTAAATGAAATGATATACATAAAGCTCTTGACTCAGTGACTGAAAAGAAATAAGACCTTAATAGATAGGTTATTTACTTTTATTATTGATATAAAGTAAGGCCTTGGCAAAAGGGCAAAATGCTACATTCTACATTACTCTCAAAATAGTTGACTCCAGGGGTGGGTATAGCTCAGTGGTAGAGCACATGCTTAGCATGCATGAGGTCCTGGGTTCAATCCCCAGTACCACCATTGAAAATAAAAAGGTTAATCTCACATTTCTTAGAGCTGGTATGGCCAAGGCTCTGAACCAAGTTGAGGGCTTGTCCCAAGTTAGCTGCTTCCTATTTCAGGCCCCTCCCCGCATGTAAGAGAATTTTCCCCACCCTCCCACTCTGCTGACTATCTCTGCCCTCTAAGAGCCTTGCCAATAGCACAGATCTGTACTCTGTGGGGATTCTGCTCCACTACTCTGAGCCTCAGCTCCCTATAAATTGACAATAATAGCAGAACCCTGAGGATTAAATGAACTAATGCCAAGTATATAGTAAGCCCTCAATATATGAGAAGTATGATGCTGACAATGCAAGACACCTGTCCCAGGGTGTCAGGCTCAGGAGCTACAAAAAAGAATCAACTGCATTTCTCACCCTCTAAGTGCTTCAGTCCAATGGCCACTCCTTCCTTCCCATTTCTACCCATGCTGTCACATTTCAGGCCTGGATCAGGGTCCAGGAGGCCAAGTTATTCTGACTGCTTTGCAGGGAGGCTACCAAGCCAAACCTCCTACACCTGAAACCACCCATATGCTCACCTCTGCCGGTGAGAACCCCATTCCCAGCTCTGCAGAATTGCTGACTATCTCCAGCTGCTGGAGCCAAAGCATCATATGCTCTGAATAATAAAGCCATCCAGAAAGTTCCCCATGGCAAACTGGGCACCACGCTCCAGCCTGCACCCTCGAGCCAGGCAGCCAGAAATACCAGCCTGTGCTCAAAGCTGAGCTCCCATCCCCAACAGGATGGAGCCATGGAGTCCAGGGAGTTACAATCTCCATTCCCTTCTCTTTCCTGATGCCTTCTTCTCTCAATGAGACCATATGTATTTTTCACCCAAGACTCTATTTTTACAGAGCATAATAAAACATTCTCAGTAGATTCAGTGACCATTTGCCCCGATTTTTTCAAACTTAGAAAGCAAAAGCCATTGAGGGTTAGAGAAAGACATGGTAAGACCAATATGAAGGAAAAGGAACCAGTTAAATATTTTTGGTTCACCTGTGGAAGCAGGCGTGGGTGGCATTGTTCTTTCAAGTGGATGTCCAAGCTGTAAACTTTGCAGGATGAGGGACACAGGATGCGGGTGCAAGGGACTGCTGGTCAGATGGTGTATTTGCTGTGCAGGTAAGCTCCTTAGGGGCAGGGCCTGAGCCCTATTCCCCACCGCACCCAGCACTCAGCACCAAACACAGTGCCTAGCCCTGAGCAGTCAGTCCAAAAACATCTGTCAAAGGAACAAAGTTGCTCAGTTAGACAGTCAGCCCAGGGGTTTAAGATGCTTCTATTGCACATTCTCATAACAGCCTGAACACTTACTTCTCATAACTTATCATACTTGTAATTAAATAACTGCATGTGCAATTATTGAACATGTGTGTCCTTGACAAGACTGTCGGCTCCCTGGAGGCAGGACTGCTTCCAGTGTTGTTCATCATATGTACCCTCAGTGCTTAGAAAGGGATCTGGCATACAGTTGGCACTCAATAAATATTTGTTGAAGGAATAAATGAGCCTTGGTTCTGCCATCAGTGCGCTGTCACCCTGTTACCTGGGAAAATGTTTTCCTCTCTAGTCCTCAGGTTTTCCACTTGCATATTAGCGACAGGGCACAATGAATGATTTTCAAGCAACAAAACCCAATCTCTTAGTTTAGAAAAAAAGTTAAAAATAGAGTTGTTGCTGCGGGCATGCTCTGAGACAGACCCATCTGCATCTCTGGACCTCCACCCATGCAACAGCCCTCCAAGTGTTCCATGGAACCTTAGGGAGTTCCAGGGGGCAAAGTATGAAAACTATTTAATTCCATGATCTCTAAGGTCCCTAAGCAAACCTGTTTGTCTGCTTGAGACAATGTAAACATTTCAATTCCTCCTGTCTATCCTTTATTTAGGTCAGTATTTCTCGTATTGGCCAGCAGTCCCCTGTCTCAGGGACACCACTGATGTTTTTATGTAAAATACAGTTTCCGTGGCTCCACCCTAGTCCTGCTAAATCTGAATCTCCAAGGAAGAGGCCAGGAATCAGCATTTTGAACAAGCACCTTCCTGTCAGTTGATGGTTGTCCACTGAAGTGTTTGGGTTATCCCCAACTAAGTTATTTCCACAGACCCTCATGAGGTATTTTATCCTGGAGCTTTCATTACAACTGTGCTTTTTTGAATGACCAGAGTGAGGCAAAAAAAAAAAAAATAAAAAAAAAAGACAGGAATAGTCAGAAGAGCCCGGATAAATGAGTCAAGGTTTGTCAAGTGGGAAGAGATCACAGGGAGCTCTTCAGGGGCCCTTGACAGACAGATCATCCTGGTGGCTCCGTGCTCTGCAATCTCATAGTTTGTATCTGGAAGAAATCATCTGTGTATTTCTCTATTCTTCTGGAGTGGCATTGGCAACCTCAGGAATTATTTATTGAATTATCAGGTTTCTTATTAGTATATTAATGGATCCCTGGGAGTTAAAGAGTAAGCATGCCTGTAAGGCTGTCAAGGAAATTCACTGTAGTCTTTGGAAATATGGTAGGTTTTTGTCAACTTCATGGAAAACAGCCATTCATTCATTTGTTCATTTTTTTCCACTCAACTAGCTTGACAGATTCATTGGTACATAAATTACTTCCTCTTTTTTTTTCAGCTTTATTGAGATAAAATTCTCACACCATACAATTCACCCATTTAAAATGTAAATTCAATTATTTTGATACATTAAGGGTGTACAACCCTCACACAATCAATTTTAGAATATTTTATCAACTCAAAAGAATTCTTGTACCCTTTAGCTATCACCTCCCAATCCTCCATGCCCTTAGCCCTAACCAACCACTAATTTACTTTCTATGTCTATGGATTTGCTTATTCTGGACATTTCATTTAAATGGAATCATACAATTGGTGGTCTTTTGAGACCAACCTCTTTCACTTAGTGTAATGTTTTGAGGTTCATCTACTTTGTAGACTGTATCAGTACTTCATTCCTTCTATGGCTGAATAATATTCCATTGTATGGATATACCACATTGTGTTTATCAATTCACCAAGTTGATAGACACCTGGGTTGTTTTCATTCCTTGGCTATTCTGAATAATGCTGCTATTTATATTTGCATACAAGTTTTTGTGTGGACATATTTTCTTTCCTCTGCTTTTGAAAGGCTCCTAGTCCAGCAGATGTAGATGCTAAAACAGGTACCTATATAATTACCTGTGCTGGTCAGATGCTGCAAGAGAGGGATGAGGCAACATGTGTGATGGTTAGAACCACATGTTTCTGCCATTACTAACTAAACGATCTGGGAGGCAAGCTTCTTCATCTTTCTGTGTCAGTTTTCTCATGTGTAAAATGGTATCAATATTTTCCTGACCTTATAGGACTGCTGTGAGGATTCCATGAGCAAATGCATGTTAGGGGCTTAGCCCCAAGCCGGGCACATAGTAAGCGCCTGATAAATGTTTGTCATTATCATTTGCACTCAGGAGATCACTAACAGTAAGTTTACTGATGGACCATGCACTGTAGCAGTTAAGTTTCATTAAACAAATGTTTCTTGAGCATTTATTATGAACTTGGCACTGTGAGAGAAATACAGTTGATCCACACCTGGATCCTCCTGCCAGGAGTCTGTAACCTGTAATCTGAATGGCAAGACTCACTGGCATACATCACCTCCATATACTGTGATGTATTCTTTACTAAAGGCCCCCCAAACTGCTGTGGGAGCCCTGGAGAAGGAACTTTTTTTTTTAAAGATATCTTTTTATTATGAAAATGTTCAAAAATACAGGAAAGTAGAAAGAATTATAAACTGAATACTTACATATGATCACAAAAATTCAACAACTGTCAACATTTTACCATATTCACTTTATCTTACTATATGCCAAATTTGTGGCTGAACCATTTTAAAGTTAACTACAGATATTCTAACACTTCAGCCCTAAACACTTCAACACGCATTTCCAAAAAATAAAGATTCTCCTCCATAACCACAATACTCTTACCATACCTCACAAAACTAATAACTGCCTTATATCATCTAATCCCCAGTTCACAGTCAGATTTCCACCACTGTCTAAAAACACAGTCTTTACAGACTTTTTTAAAAAAAAGAACCAAGATATAATCAGGAATCACATCTTACACTTAAATGTTATATTCTAGGATCTCTTTAAATATAGAACCTCCTCCCCCACTACGTTTGCTTTGGTTTTATTTTCACATTGTCGACTTTTAAGAGATCACATCAGTGGTCTTATAAAGGATTCCGCATTCTGGACTTGTCTGATTGCTTCTCTGTGGGTTATGTAATGTGTTCCGCTATTCCCTGAAATTCTGGTAAACTGAAGCCAGCTCTAAACACCTGATGAGGTTCAGGCTCAGTATTTTTGGCAGGACCCAAAATAGGTGGAGCTGGGTAGTCTACTGCATCCTACTGAGAGGTACCACCGCTGGTGACCCAAAGCATGACCCCTGGGTTAAAATGGTGACACACAGAGAGAGGAGGAAGGAAGTGGGAAGAAGGGAAACGTCTTCACAGGCAATGGCATCTAAGCAGGGCTTGAAAGGGTGTGTAGGAGCCTACTGGGTGGAGAAAAGGGAAGGGGAAGGACCTTCCAGGTACAGAGGCACAGTGTTGGGAAAGAGAGCGCTGAGCTTCAGGAAGTAGGAGGTGGTAGCCAAACGTGGTTACTTGTTATAACAATAACAGCAGGCACTTAACGCCTATTAGAGTTTACTATGTTCCAGGAACTATGCTAAGTGATTCATTTAATTTCTCACACAGTCCTATGGAACAGATGTTGCTGCTCCCCTTTTAAGGGTGTGGAAATCACGATTTAGTGATAGGTGGTAACTTGCCAAAGGTCGTAAAGCCAGGAATAGGCAGACTCCGGATTTGAATCCAGGGGCTTGACTCCTGAGCCTCTGCTTTTAAAAGCACAAAGCTCTATGTTATGGTGACAGGACAAAAGAGTTGGAGAGGCAGGTTGGGGGTAGGTGGAAGAAGGCCTTCTCTGCCATTCTGAGGAGTCTAGGTGTTATTCCCAGGGCAGTGGGGAGCCAGCGAAGGTTTCTTCATAGGGGCGGGCATGGCTGTGCCTGAGAATGGGCACGGCTGCCCGGTGAAGGCAGAGTGGAGAGCTGCGGGGGTGAGCTGTTAGACGCATGGCTGGGTGTCCCTCCAGGGAAGTTGGGCCCTTTGCACTGCCGGGACAGAGAGCAGGTTGGGGAGGGAGTTGGGGGGAGGGCTAGGTTCCTCCTCCAACTAGACTAGCCAAGAGTCCTGCCCTGCACAGTGCACAGACACTGGATGTTCCACAAGAGCAGGGTGGGTGCTGCACCCACAGACACCCTCACCGTGCAAACAGCTCCAGTTTCTACCAAGTCAACCCTAAGGTCCAGTATCCTGTTGGCCAGATGGCGCTGGGATGTGAGCTGCAAAGACCAGGTGAAAGGATCAGCTTTAACCCGAGACCCAGAGAGGGAAAGTGACTGGCCCGAGATCACACAGTCAAATCGTGGCAGAGGCAGGACTAGAACTCAGGTCATGCCTCTTGATTCCAAGCCCGCTATTCTTTCAGGATGGACTTTATTTCAGAATCAAAGAGGAATCAGAATCAAAGAGGAATCAAGACACAATCACTGGCCGTGGGATGCCAACTGCTCTGGGAAATCCTTCATTTTTTTTTTTTCCACTAATAATTTCCCACATTGAGAATCCTCTTGGAGGGCTACAGGCACCCTTCCTGGCTGGCTGTTGCCACCACACAGCGCCTGAGTCAGCACGTCTCGCACAACTGGTCAGCTCCAAGTAGCGGGGGCAGTACAAAGCCTGGGCCTGGCTGCTCACCCTTCAGCCTTCAGGCAGAGAGGGTGCATGGGTAGAATGCAGGAACGGCTCTGGGATGCCTGCGTTCAAAACTCTGCCCTGGTACTCACTAGCTGTGCAGCCTTGAGCCTGTCACTCCCCCTCTCTGTGCTTCTGTTTCTTCATTTTTAGATCGATGAAAATAGCAGTGCTTCATACAGTTGGATGTGAGGATTAAATACCATAAACAGTGTCAAAGGGCTTAGTAAGGCTTACCTCAAGATAAAGGCTGGTATTACCATTCCCTTGGGGATCAGAAGGCTTGGGTGCCTGCCATTAACTTATCTATTTATTGGACAAACCTTTCAGATGCTGCATAAAATCTGCTTCTTCCACGAAGTACACCTGGATTAACTGTGCTCAGTTTAAAGCCTCCTTGATTCCCAGAATTTGAAGCATAGCTGGCATTATCTAAACTAACTGTAATGGGGGTGGAGGAAGGCAGATTGTGGTTGCCTCCCCACCGCCCCCCAGCACAAAGCCTGGCTCAGAAGGCCCGGGGTTGTACTCCAGGCCCGAGCTAGCTGCTGGCTAATTAGTTTGGGGTAAATCACTTCATCTCTGTGATAGTTTCTTCGATAAAATAAGGGTGATAATACCTGTTTTGCAAGCTGATAAAAGTCAGATTCCTGACTATACTTTGAAAAGGGAAGGAAACAGGCAAAATGTTTTTTCCAAAGCATATTTAATAAATCAGGAAAGTGATGCTAATATACTGGGTTTATTTTTCTTTTCTAAATTTTATCTTATTTAAAAAGTTCAACAAGAAGATGCATTAATATATTCTCATGGTAAAAGATTCATAGCATAGTATTAATCAAAAAAGGGCAAGCTCTGCATATGAAATGTGACCCCAACTTTGTTAAAAAAAAAACCCATAAATACACTGAAAAAAAACACACATAAGGAAATCCACCAACATGTTAACAGTCAGTAGGATTACAGATTATTATCTTCATTTTATTATCCTATATTTTACTTTTTTTTCTAATAAGGATGTATTATTTTTATAAACAGAAGAAAATTACAACTAAAGAAAAATAAACAAAACCACAAGCTTTCTAAAGGGGCCATCACTTTCTGGTTCCAAACAATTGCTGCCTGGTGGGATCTCCCAATTTTCCAAGAGAATCCAGAAATCTGGATCTTTTTGTGAAATCTCTTGATTTTTAAAGATCGGCAGCTAATTCACAAGACGCATTTGACCAGTCTGCTGATCACAATTTGTGACCTGCTACAGGAACACACTGAACTCTCTTCTTCCTCTGCACCTTTGTTTTTGCTGTTGCACTGCCAAGAACACCCTACCACTCATGCAGGTTTCACGAACTCTACCTGTTCTATCAGGCCTGGCCGAAACACACCTCTTCTGTGAGCATCCCCAGATGACCTCAGCTAGAAGTGACACTCCCTCCCGGGGGATGGACCATTTAGTCCCCATCTCATATCATGGTTATTTTGATGAGTCCTATCTCTCCCGGTAGGCATTGAGCTCCTAAAATACAGCTGACCCCTGAGCCATGCAGGAGTTAGGGGCACCGATCCTCCATTCCTATAGCTGAAAATATGCCTGTAACTGTACAGTCGCCCTCTCTACCTGCAGTTCTGCATCTGCGGATGTTACCAACTGTGGACCATATAGTACTGTAATAGTACTTACTGAAAAAAATTCACATATAAGTAGAGCCACGCAGCTCAAACCTGTGTTGTCCAAGAATCAACTGTCTTCAATAAACATCCTGGAGCACCTGCTTCGTTGAAGGCACCAGGCTAGGCACTGAGAATACAGCTGAGGGCAAGATGGATAGCCTTTGCCTTGATGGAATATAGTCTAGTACAGGGGACTAGATTTTTAACAAATCATTCCCAAGACACCTAATTCCAATCTGTGATGAGTTTTACGGAGTTAAGAAAGTTTCTAAAAGGAACTTAATCCAATCAGGAGGATTAAGCTAGTCACCAGGCAGCTTGGGGAAGCATCAGCACTTGGGCTGCCACCTAAGGCTGCACAGTTTGTATTCTGCACAAAGGTAACAGGAGGAGAGGACAGGCCAGAGCAGAGATGCAGTCCCACCCAAGCTGGGCCAGTTTCTAATTTGCAGAAAGGCACTGTGCAGACCAGCAGGGGCAGTGTTTAGGTGTGGTAGTTCCTCCTACCATCTGACCCCCTTCAAAAAAAAAGCTGCTCTAAATAAACACAGACTCTTAAAAACAGTGATATCTGTCTGTCTGTCTGTCTGTCTCTCTATATATATCCTCAAGGGATGTCTCCCATACTCCCTTTCTACCAGAATAAATCCCCTAAAACCTTACTTTAGCAATTTTGAGAATCAAAGATGGCATCTCTGAGGAAGTGACAGAGGAGCCAAGATTGAAGGATAAGAAAGGGCCAGGCAGCCAAAGTATGAGGAACGGCAAGTACAAGGCCTCTGTGGAGAGAAGGTACCACAGATGAGGGACCTCATAAGCGGCCAGTGGGGCTGCAGGGCACACAGTGATGGGAGAGTGGCAAGGGTGGGCTGGATAGCATGTATGGCCTGGAAGGCCAGATTAACGGGTTCCATCCTCACCCTGAAATGTCTCTTATTTCCTTCTCCCTGATCATGTTGTTTATGGGTGTCACTGCCCATGGGCACCCCCACAGAGCGAACAAAATAACATAAACCACCTTTCCATGGCGCCTACCCTGAGCTACACACTGTACTGGGGCCACATGCCCAGTTCACTCTTCCTTCCCCATCTTCCTAAGGTAGGAAGGATTCTTTGATTCTAAATGAGCAGATGAGAAAACTGAGACACAGAGAGGTTACCTGGCTAATAAGTGGTGGGTTGGGATCCCAGGTCTGTGATTGTAAGCCTTTCTTCTTGGCCGCCTTGTAACAAAGACTCTTGCAAAAAAACAGGCACAAGGAGAGCCTGGCTACTCAAAGTGGCATCTGGGGGGCTTGTGGCATTGGCATCACCTAGAAGCTTGCCAGAAGTGTAGGCACTCCAGTTCCAGCCCAGTCCTACTCAATCACAACCTGCATTTTAAGATAAACAACCAGGTCCTATTGTACAGCACAATATCCTGTAATACGCCATAATGGAAAAGAATGTGAAAAAGATTACGAATGTATGTGTAACTGAATCAATTTACTGTATACCAGAAACTAACACAATACTGTAAATCAACTATATTCCAATCTTTTTAAATTTGTATTTTACAAGAATCACGTACACATTACAGGCTGAGAAGCACTAGACAAAACAGTAAGTCTAGACAACAATCCAAGCAAAGCAGCATATTGCCTTCACAGCCCTCAAACTACAGTCTACCGTCTCAAAGGCCAAGTCTCTAGTGACTTGAAAACAACTTATTATGACCAAATTTGCCAGAATTGCCAACGTTCCATCCATCCACTTGCCCCAGTTCTGTCTTCTATTGCAGCTCCAAAGGAAAGTCTGTGAGAGGCTACCACACCTCCAGAGAGAGGCTGCTGTACACTCTGATTCTGGTCAGTTTCTTAGTATGGATCTGCCCTCGTACAGGAAGAAATCTAAAGTTGTTTGACCCTTCTCCTGGTTAATCACTGCTCCAAATCATCTTCCACTTGGGGTCCACTCTGATCCCCAGATCATTTTCTGGGACCCACTTTTCACCAGACAATTCCTTCTCTTAGCCTACATACCAAAGAAGACAGAATGGTTTGGCAGAAAAGATTACTAGGTGATAATACTCAGCCATAAAAAAGAATGAAATAATGCCACTTGCAACATCATGGATGGACCTGGAGACTGTCACACTATGTGAAGTAAGAAAGAGAAAGTGATAAAATATCACTTATATGTGGAACCTCAAAAAAAAAAAAAAAGAGAGAGACAGACAGACAAAAGAACTTATTTACAAACAGAAACAGACTCACAGATATAGAAAGCAAACTTGGGTTACCAGGGGGTGAAAGGTGGTGGGGTGGAGGGATAAACTGGGAGTTCCAGATTTGCAGATAATAACTACTATATATAAAACAGATAAACAGCAAGGTCCTACTGTATAACACAGGGAACGATATATTCAATACCTTGTAATAGCCTATAATGAAAAAGGATATGAAAAAAACAAATATGGAACTGAATCACTATGCTGTACACCAGAAATTAACATACTGTAAACCGATTATACTTCAATTAAAAAAAACTTTTTAATTAAAAAAACTTAGGTGAGAAAAATCCGCATTTTCCTGCATTAAGGCCACATGTTATACGGCTGGGAAACTCCCATCTCCACTTCCCCCTTTCCATCTGAGAAATGGGTAGGATGAACTAGATTAGGAATCACTAAATCAGGGGTTTGGCAGGTAACACAAAGGACGGCCTAGGTGAAGCAGGAAGGAGTAATGGGGACAGTGGCAAATGAGAGGATGAATGCCTTGACTAAAAAAGGCAGCCCCACTCAGCATTAGGCTATTGTTGTCACGGTCCAGCGTTGGCATATGCTCTAATTATTAGAGATTGAGAATCAGATGTCCCCCCCTGTGAAATATCCTATGGTGTTTAAACACCGGAATCTGGTTAAAACTCAAATAAACACCACTTTGTGGGCCGAATAAAGATCAGGTGCAGGCCAGATCTACCCGTGGGCCGCCAGTTTGCGATACCTAGCCTGAATGCCACCTAATTTTACGTGCAGGTTTATAATTCCATCCTATGCGCAGCTCTTCTAGAATGCTGCAAAGCGGCCTCGGTTAGGGCGACGAAATCCGCGCCTTCCGGGGCCCGTCGCCCCTCCCTACCGCGACGCCGCCCCCGCGGTGCCCCTTCCCAGGCCTCTCAGGGAGCCGGCCGTGCGCGGGGACGCAGCCCTGCTCGTGGTGGCGGTGCTTGACGGGTCGCACGGCGTCGGTCTCTTTACACCCTCCCTACCTGGTCGCCTGCTCTCCGGGCTACGCCGCAGCGATGACTCAACATCCCGGAGCCCAGGCGTGGAGTCGGGGGCGAGGAGCGGGGGCGGGGCGGGGGAGGGAAATGGGCGGGGCGGGGCGGGGCCAACGGAGGGGGGGAGGGGAGGCGGAAGAGGAAGGAGAACAGAGGCGAAAGGGAGGGAGGCGGAGGAGTGGGAGAGGAGGAAGGGGTGGGGGAGGGGAGGGCTCCCGGGGAGGCCGAAGCCCCAGCCCCGCCCCTTCCCGCTGCCCGCCGACTTAGGGCTGATCCTGGCAAACAGGCCGAAGAACAGCGGAGAGGGCAGGGAGAGGGTGAGGCACCCAAGGGGAGTTCGTGAGCTACCCTGCATTCATCCCCCATCCCGAAGTGCCCTTGTTCACACGCCACACCCACGGACCCACCCTCGCCTGTTTGGATTAGTGCTGGGAGATGCACCTTTAGACACGGACCCTTAGTGAGCCCCTTCCTCCCGATGGAGGCCTTGGGGGGACTGGTCAATTAGAGATGAGAGAGACAGAGCCCTGCTTCCTGGGGGCTTGCAAGGCAGCGAGAAAACCTACACCGCCTATCCGCAAGTGGAAATTTGAAAGGAGAAACGATCTGCCGCTGCATTTTCCTGCGCTACACAATAGCTATTATACAAGGTTGAGTTTGGAAGATGACCCAAGGAAGTGTCCTTAGCAATTTTTTAATAGAGTAAATGAATCGATGAATGAAATGAGCATATCTGTGTGTATAGAAAGGACAGATTTTTAAAAATGTCTTTGTGTGTATATGTGTGTGTGTGTGTGTGTGTTTGGGAGGATGTACAGTTGTGTATCTTGAATGGTGTCTGCCATATGTATGCTTATGGATAGAAGCACACTGATAGCTGTGTATGAGTATGTGTGCTCAGAATGTGTCTCTGTGCATATGTACAGGCATGTATCTTTATGTGCCTAAATGTTAAGCAGGTGTGTATATCTGAGATCTATGGGCTTTCCTGAGTTTGTATTTAAATATGTGTGAATTTGTGGGCTTGTGAATGGGACTACATATACTTGGGTCTATACTGCTATTGTGTGCTAGTGTTGTATATATGTGTGTGGGGTGGGGATACTTCACGTATGTCTTGGTGAGATTGTGTTACGGTTGTGAATGTGTGTTTGTGAGTGTATGAGAATATATTTGTGCGTCTGTGACCAGGGCTGAAGTGTGCCTTAAGGTTGCCTGTGTGTTTAGATGTGTTTTTCAGAGTCTGCGTGGATATGACTGTGTATGAGTCTGGGTATATCTCTGCAGCCATCTATTGATTTAGTCTGCGATAAGGGCCAGGTGATTCTTAAGGGTTGGGCTGGACAAGGTGCTTCTTGGAGGAGGAGCTCTTGGAAGGGTGGGGACTGTGGAGGGTGTGCTGGCCCAGTGACCATCCAAAGCAATGGGAGGCAGGGTGAGCAATGTAGGCTGAAGCAAGATGGGGTGAATGAAGCAAGACCGTGAATGCCAGAACATGCTGTCCTCCAGGTCATCAGGGCCTCCTCTGCCCTCCACCCTCTCAAGCCTGCTTCTCTTGGGGCCTCCTTGCTGCCTACCTGGACATTGTTCTTCTGCAGAACGTATCCCCTGGGTAATTAACAACAGCATCACGATGGAGCATTTGCTGTGTACCTCCCCCCCAAAAGCAGTGAATTGGCATTGGCTCAGCTTAGTATCCCCAACTTTACAGAGGGGGAAACTGAGAAGATGAGGTGCCTGTTCCTGGGTACACAGCTAGTAAGAGCACCTCAAACTCCAGGGCTGCATGCCCTCTCAATGGCTGGACCAGGACAGTACAACCTCGGCACTATAGACACTTGGGGCGGGATAATGCAGCCTCGCAGGGCTGCCCTGTGCACTGTACGCTATCCAGCGGCATCCTTGGTCTCTGTCCACTAGATGCCAGTAGCACTTCCCTTTCCAGTTGTGACATCCAAAATGTCTCCATGTATTTCCACACGTCCGCTGGACACAAAATCACCCCTGATGGAGAACCAGTACTCAAAACTATCCTGCCTCCCTGGATAAATGTTTTCTGAGAGGCTGCATCCTGTCCAGTGGCTTCAGCTGTCCCTCTTCTTGCACAGTGACCCTCACTTCCATGCAGGTAGCACCTTGCTTCTGTCACAGTCAAACAGAAGTTTTGACCAGCTGGGTCACCTTGTTCAGCAACTCAACCTCTCTGAGCCCCAGCAACAGAAAGCACAGGATTGAGTCCCTAGGAGCTACCTCGTGAGCTCTTACTACTATCATTCAAGTCACAGGGATTCACTGGGGTCAGAGCTAGGAGGAAGAGGGCCCCAAGCCAGCTGACTCCCTCTGGCCCTGAGCAGTGGATGCTGCTGGTTCTGAGTTTGCTTTCTTGGTTCAGGGAGAAGGGGAGAGTGTTCCAGAGTTGGGCCCAAACTAGTGACGCTATCATATTTATGCTGTTTTATCTTTCAAATAAAACAGCTTGACTTTTCCCACCAGCAGAACCCGATATTAATGAGCATGTGCAGTGTTGTGGTCAGAACAGGTGCTCAGGAAGGGCAAGGCAGAGCCATCAGCAGGGCTCTTACCTGTCCAGGTCCAGACTCCTCCTGCTACAGACAAGACACAGCTGATGATGCCTGCAGAGGACTTCCATGCAGGGATGCCAGTCTCTGCCACTCAGGAAACTCTTTTCCTCTTGACTGGGTGTTCCTTTGCTGTGCCATCTCTCCCTCCGCTTCTTCTGTTCACCTGCACCCCTGCCGTGTTCCTGATGTTTGCAGGGCCCTCTGTCCAGTCCTCTCGGGAGGCTGCAGAGCAAAGTGGGCAAGGCTGAGAGTTCTTGACGCCTCATCCCCCAAGAGCCTGTGTGAGCTTGAGCAAGGCACTTCACCTCTCTGGCCTCGGCTTCCTCATTTTGAAAATGTGGATCCCACAAGGTCCTATCTGGCAGTAGGACATGAGATAGTACATATAAACGATGCTGGGCATGTAGTAAGCCCTGAATAAATAGTGGCCACCATTACTACTATCATTTTTCATTAACAATGAAATGCAAATGAGCACTTACTCATTGCCAGGGAGTGTGCTAAGCCCTGGACAATTCTTTTCTCCCTTGATCCCTTCAGCCTCTGCAGGAAGTTTCTATTGTTCGCCTCAGCAGGGAAGAGGAAGCTCAGGTATGGTGATGTTAAGGGAGTTACCCAAGGTGACAGAGCTGAAATGAATCAGAACCAAAGTATTGTTTCTGCAAAGCCTCACTGCCCTGCAAGCAGATTTCACCATAGGAAGGAGGGACCCTGGAAGTTTGAGAGGCCGAGAGAAGGCAGTGTGGGGCCTAGACAGAAGGAGGGGTTTAGCTCAAAAGGGATGAAGTTTCCCTTTTCTTGCTTTTGATGAAATTACCTAACACAGTGGGCTAGGGGGGTGGGTCTCATGACTCAAGAGGTGCTGCCAAGTTTTCACTAGTGCATAAAGTTTATTTTTATTATAAGCCAGGGTATATATTGTTCTGGTGCTTTTTGTTTGAATTGGATTGTAGGGAGGCACAGAAAGGTGTTAACTTACTATATAAGTCACAGGACAGACGGGAGGCCCACTTTAGAGCTGATGCCAGGGAAAGATGGTGTGTTTACCGGGAGCTGTGAGAATGAGGCCAGGTGAGTGTATAAGACAGGATGGTCTTTGTGGAAGGGTTAGTTCTTCCAATACATGTGCCAAAGGGGACAGAGAGAGCCATGTGATAACTGTTTTGCTGACTTTTCAAGATATTGAAGGCATTGTTTTCCTCCGTACTGTGATGCTGTATTTATTGCTATGTAGCAAATGACCCCACAGCTTAGTGGCTTAAAACAAATATTATCTCACACTTTCTGTGGATCAAGAATGCAGGAATGATTTAGCTGTGTAGTCTCTGGCTTAGCATTTCTCAAGAAGTGGCAATCTACTCGTCTGCCAGGCCTGAAGTCATCTGAAGGCTGGACTGGAGCTGGGGGATCTGCTTCCAAGATGTGCACTCACAGGGCTGTGGCTGGGAGGCCTCAGTTCTTCACCGCATGGCGGACTCTGCCATAGGGCTGCCTGGGTGTCCTCTCACCGGGGAGCTGGGCTTTCCCCAGAGCAAGGGAGAGCAGGGTGGAAGTCACGTTGTCTCCCATACCTAGCTCCAGAAGTCACACATCATCGGTTCCTGAATAACCTGATGCTTCCACAGGTCAGCCCTGCTCAGTGTGGGAGGGCAACACACAAGGACATAATACCAGGAGGTAAAGATCATGGGGCCATCGTGGAGGCGGCCGGTCAGAGTGCTCATCAACGCCCACTTGTTTACTATTGTTTGGAAAACTTTGGATTCCAAACGAAATCCAGCATTCAGACTGGGCTGCGGGTTCCAAAAAGTTGAGAGCTGCTCACCCAACAGCTTGGTTTCATCTGGACCTGCCTGTGGGGGTCCCTTTGGGGGCACGACTCCAGCAGCGTCCCAGGATGACTCCATCAGAAATAAAGCGCTATGATCCCATGTCACTGACACTTATCTGCACCAGGGGCCAGCAGGGTACGGAGGTTAAGGAGCCTGGAGCTTGGAGCCAGGCAGAACTGGATTCAAGTCCTGACTCACCTACTGATGACTCAGGGGCTTTGGGCAGTTGGCTTAACTTCTCTGCGCCTCAGTTGTCTTCATGTGTAAAGTGGATGAAGATCAACTTCACAGGGTGCTTAGGAAGACGGAATACAGGATGACAGAGCAATGGTAATAGGACAGGAGTCATGTGCCCGACCAGTGTTGTTGACCCACAGAGTTGTTATTAATAGTGATGACAAGAAAGTAATAACAATAGCTCACATTTATCCAGCTCCTATTCTAGTCAGTCTCTGAAGCTTAGAGGAGTTAAGCATCCTGCCTGAGACACACAAGTAGGAGAGGGGGCACTCACACCCAGCTGTGTCTGTCTCCAATGCCAAACTATTGCATAACTTGCTCTTTTCCCTTAGTCATCTGTAATGATCTATGCTACATGGTTTTACCTCCTCCTTTCTTCCCCTCTTTTTGGCTGCTTAATAGTAAA